AAACCTGGTTGGATTCGTTTGTCCATCCAGCACGTATATTCCTAATTTTATATACTATTGTATACGTCTTTTTCGGTGGTTAATGCTGAATGATTTTTTTTTTTTGAAATTAATCATTTATAAAATCAAATTACATACACCTTGTATGTCTATATTTTAGCAAAAAAAAATTATTAAACAATTTGTTATATTTTTCAATCATACAAAAGGATAAAAATACAAGAAATTGGTGGATTACACGACATATAATGCCAAAAGGACCTAACGTAGATATCGGCTATTGGCCAAAAGAGTTATTTAACCTTTTAGATAATGGTGCAAATATAGCTGGAGTTGGAGGTGTGGTTCAGGCTTCGCATTCTGGTTCAAGCCCTCCGTTGGGTAATGGTGAATTTCCGTCTAGTGATTTCAAAAAATCAGGAGCTTTTACAAATATCCAACTTTTAGATTCTGTCTATGAACAGCGTCACATCAGTTCTTTTTCTGTAGAGAAATTACTTGATAGTACCAAATGTTATGGATTAAAATATGGTAGAACAGCTTTCTATGGGGCAGAAACTCTAGAGTTTTTTTTCATGTATGGTGGTCTGGGAGGAAACTCTTGTGGAATTTAAGATTTGCAGTATAATCTTTGGTATTTCATAAATAAATTTAAATTAACAAAATGCAAACCTATTTAGTTAGTTTATTTAATCTCAAAGTCAACTTCCTTTAATGTGTTAAATGTCTTATTTCCTATTTGACTGCTAGGAACATTTGTAAAAAAAATAGAGGAAATAGTGTTGAATATTCCCCATAAATATAAAAACAATCAGTAAATTCAAATTGTACCCAACACTACTTTTGTTAAAAGAATTATCCCCAACATTATGATAATACAGAGATTAATTAGTATCATGATAGAATTCTACATTTAATCTACATAACTAATAAGGCTTGGACAATCTCCAGCCTTTGACACGTGGCACTCTTTTTTTTTTTTTTTTTTCGCCTAACACCAAAACGACGTCGTTTTGGCTTTATTTTTTTTTTTTTCGTCTTACACCAAAACGACGTCGTTTTGCGCTTTATCTTTTTTTTTTCGTCTTACACCAAAACGACGTCGTTTTCGTATTAAAAAAAAAATCTAAATCAAAATTATGTGTAATGCTGTTCGTTTTGATGGGCTTGATTATTTATCGGACCTCTTCGTTTCCATGGTAGCTTTAAATGGGCTTACTGGCTAATTAGCTCATTTCATTTCCTTTTAAAAAGGATTGCAATTATTATTATCTATGAGTCTGTAGGATAATAATCAATCTATAATGATTGTTAGTATAAGGAAAATTAGAAGAACTCAACTCCAGTCGATAAATTATTGTATAAAAGAACAAAAAACATATGAAACTATTCACTATGAGTCTATATAAGATTTCACGTAAATAACAACTAAATTTTAAAACTATATGAAAAAAAACAAAATGCAAAACTTACAGAATCTAATATATTCGAGTAAAAAACAAATGATATATTCGAATCTAATGTTCTGAATAATTAAATTAAAAATATTTGGTTTAATAAACCCGCGCATTGCGCGGGTTCTCTCCTAGTATTCTTTAAATTTGTATGAAATAAATTGCATTTTGCCATATAATTCTAAGTTTCCAAGATAAAAACTCTAATATAAACACATTCTTTTCTTCTCCTCTTCCTTTTGCGTTTCTTCTTCGTCTTCTTCTCCATTTTAATGTATCCCATTTTCTTCTTCTCCTTCTCCCCTAGCCATTTGATAAATATCTTTGCATACTGAAACTAAAATGTTTATCGTATTGGTTGTAATTTTAACATAAGCATTTTCTTCAGTGGCTCAACAAGGAAACCAACAATAAGCATTTTCTTCAGTGGCTCAACAAGGAAACCACATATTAAAACTTAAATCTCTTCTTTTTTTGTTTTTTTGCCGTCTAACCTTACTATATAGGTATGCGGGGTCATACATGCGGATGAGTTCTAACTTCAAAGGATAAACTTCAAACCTTAAATGAAAAATCTTAAACTTTAAAGGTTTTGACATTTGGTTGTAAAAATGGCCAAACCCGAACAACACAAAAACAAAAAAAAACTTATCTCTTTGTTGCCTCATCAGATATCACATGTAGTGTCATAAAGAGTTGTGGCTTGTGGGTCATGACTCCTTTCACATTTCAACGCCTATTTTCTTTGCCACTATAGACTAAAACCTAACAAATTTGTTTTTTGCTTGGTTTTTTTGTTTTAATAAATGAAAAAGTACATGCATGAATATATGTAAATCACTCATTGCGTGACATTATCCGATCACCTATTATTCGGTTGCTTTTATCACCTCTTTTTCATACAGCATCAAATTTGATTCGGATAGTAATGTTGACAAAAAAATATGATAGCTACACCGCGGCAAGATCAATATCAATCTGTCAAGTATTCGGAAATTTTTAGTTTCTCTTGTATAAATAATAGTTCGGATTTCAGTCTATATATTTCCGCAATAAAGAGCTTAAACTTCTCTACATATTGATGTAAAGCTTCTATAAATAGTGGTAAATTTGCCAATGTTTACTTGCTATTTTGATGTTTATCCAATTTACACTTTACAGTAAGATATCAATTATTATGATAATCAAAACAACGCATGGACCAAATTTCTCTTCACATCGGTTCAAGTATCTTCTAGTTAAGAGTCTTAGGCCGTTAGCTGCTGAAATAATTAAATATCACCAATGAAAAAAAAATCTAATCATACATATACTTATCTTTATGTGTCATATATTAATCAATTAGTATACATTCTATCCATGCTAAGGATCGGACCAATTTAGTAGACAAGTAATGGTTGATTAGTTTGTGCTGAGCTGTTAGAGAGTGGATGAGAAATTGATAGCCTCCATAATACATTATCGTATTAGTTTTTTTTTGTCACAACTCCATCTTAAAAAAGAATGTTTTAATTTGAAAGAAACTCAACCAAAATATGAACAGTTTTCGGAATAAAATACCTAAAAGCTAAAAACAGGATATGATGTTTTCAAAGACGTCTTATCGTTCTGTATTTCTCCTCTTGTATTGATGAGGTCATGTTCTAAGAAATTCCGGGACTCTACTTCGAAGAAGAAATGAAAAAAATCTTGTAAGAAGAGTGTTTTTAGACCACTAAGAAAATAGGTTAACTGGCGACATGGCAAGTAATATATTTGCAATAGACGATGAATTACAGATATATTTAAAGTAAATTTAACATATGTCGTAAAAAAAAAAAAAAAAAAGTAGAATACCGATGATCGATACATTGCTTTAAAACAAAAATTTGTCGATTAACGAAAGTAACAAAAGATCATACACGATATTAACAATAACAAAACTTTTTCGACGAGAAATCACATGGGACTAGGAAGAGTAAATATTTAAGGATCAGTTGGATTTGGATGCTTTGTGATGAAGAAAAGATACTTCTTTCCTTTTGTTTTCTCTCTACACATTTAAACTTGGTGGAGAAGATTTTAGCAGATTCACGATCACGACTCAAGATAGTAAACCCAAAGCAAAAGCCAACCAAAAAGGAGACCCACAAATGACGTATACTTTGGCAAGAAAACTGAAAACAATGGCACATCTAGGTATAACTGTATTTTAATTATATTGGCATTTAGCATTTAGGTGCATATAATATATGGCCCAGCCTACAATTATGCTCTCATCCTCTTCCTGTTGCTTTACTAGGAGGTCGGCTGGACATTACAAGGATCTTATCTTGCAAACAACTCTCCTGTCGATAATGATTACGTCATTATAATCCCAAATTAAAATTCCTGAAATTAGTTCTTTTATTAAAATATTATCTAATTCAAGGAAAATATTATTGATAGTCTTTTTTCTTAACAATTTGCATTTACGTAGTATTTTAAAAACACCAAATTTCAAGTTATACTTTAAAATATCAGAATTCTGAAATAAATAAAAACTCTTAAATAAGATGGTATCATTAATTTTGGTGATATTTGATTGAAACCAACCAATAAATATCTATATAAATGGCTTTGATTTTTTATTCAGCTTCCATGAAAACTATATATATGGATTGGTTGGTTCCAATTAAATAATGATATGACCTTTGAAATAGTGTTTCAGATTGTGTCTCTAGCAATCCAAAGTCTATTTAACACTAAGACACAAGCTTGATACAAGATTGGGTATGACTATTTGTAGAGTTGTAGAGAAATACGTAGAGAAATGTTCCAACTCTATAAGACTATAACACTCAAAATAAAAAGGAGATCACATCTACCGTGGAGAAAAGGTTAGAACTTGGTACCTAGTACTTAGAGAGGATATGGTTCAATTGGGTCAACAAATCAAAGCTAAACAACATTTATAATGACTAATCAGAGGATCTATAAATCGACCGATGGTATAAAATACTCTCATCTTTAACTCCCTCCAGATAAGAAAGACGTGTCTCTGCCAATTCCCTGATCCTGACCACTTTACTTCTTTTTTTATTAGTTGAATCCCCAACGCAATAATATTCTTTTTTCTCGATTTGTTTCTTAAAATTAAATTTTCAGGTTGTGCTGTGATCCATTCAACGTGCCAGCTGTCCTTGTCTCAATACTACTCAAATACTCCAGAGAATCTTTTACTTTCCATAATCACCCTCTATATTTCAGGAAATTTCCATTATTGACCATCATCTTTTTCTTGAGCTGTTTAGGGACGAACTCATTTTTGTCCCCGATTCTTTTGAGTCTTTTTTTAATTTTCAGTTTCTGAAATTAACCTCAGTTGTTTCAGGAATCTCTATGGGAAATCTAGATCTCTGATTCACAAATCCGTCCCAGAATTCGATACTTATTTTGTCCTCTCTACTTTGACTTTAATCTCAATCAACTTCTCTCTTCTCTGTCATAACGTCTCAAGGTCAAATGTTGATTTTTCTTAGTCCAATTTCATTTTTCCAAGTCCACGAAAACCAATGTTGAATGTAGTTAATGTTCTTCTCCACCATAGTACGAAACCTGACAGACGAAACAGAAAAACAGATCAAAAGTTCACAAAAAAACGGAAATAACAAAAAATAAGAAATGAAAAAGAAAACACATACCTCACACGACGAACAACGCATACCCGGAAAAATAACGGAGCACACATAACGGGGGTACACGACGACGGTTAACGGCGAACTGAACGGTGCACTGGAGAACGTTGACGGAACACATAACGGTGAAGGCAAATGGACCTTGATTGAGAAATTGGATCCGAAATATTTACCAAAGTCTGATTTGATTACTGTTTCCGATTTCTTTGATTTCTAGATATTTTCGACTTGGGGGAAATTTTGTGATTCTACAATAGCAAATGAGTACTATGTACAATGCATCTCTTTATCCTTCACCCAACAAAACAAAACTTATAACGGCGTCGTTTCCGTCTCCGTTTTACATAACTCGGACCGATTTAACTCAGCCGAATTTCAGTATTCCACTCGGTCACTCCTTGAGATTCAGATCTGAGGATTCTTCGCCGGATCTAATCCTCCTTGCAACCAAAGCTCTACCAGAAACGAGATTTCCTGTGGCCGATTCCAAAAACAAGAACAAACCTGAAAAACCATATCAATGATCCTCTGCTCTCGACGCCGACGAGAACCTACTAGGACGAGGCTGATACGCAGATCGCCGCTTGAGCTGGTGCGACGACGGCCTAATCAAAGTCGTCAACGCTCTTCTCACCCATTCACCTTCCACGCCACCGATTCTCACCAGAGAATTCGTCATAGCAGATCGACGCATGTTCAAACTGTTGGTCGGATACGTCACCGCGCCTTGGCCGTGTGGATTCGCGACGTTTTTGTGGAGACTACATCGAAATGATCCCGGATGCGTCGTCGGCGAGCACATACATCTCCTCCTCGAATCCGGAATCTTATGGCTGCTCGCCTTCGAAGAAACGGCGATGGATCGATTCGGCGATATAGATCTGTTATCGATCGAATACCGGAACGACTGCGTCATCATCGGCGCGGATTTAAACAGATTCACGCGCGTCGGAGATGCAGATCTGTGTTGCGGCTGATGTTGGTTGCTGAAAAAGGCTGTCGACGGCGACGAGAAACTCGAGCTTGTGGAGGAAGCGAAACCGGACGACGACGGAGACGACACGCCGTTGGAATACACACCGCAGAAACGGCCGCCCGGCGACACCGAGCGAAGCGCAGGCCCGCTTGATCTTGTTCTAGAAGATGTAATCGCCATTTGAATTTTTTTTTTTTTTGTGTTTGCTGATGAGAAATTGAAAAGGAGACTTCGAGAAGAAGACAAGAGAAGAAAGGAGGATTTTAGAGGGCTTTTTTCTCTTTAGGAGTCCCCGAGGACAGTTGGTTCGGCAAACCTAGCGAGTATCAGAAGACGAATTTATAGGTGTAACGAAGAATGGCATTTCCGTAAATACCGGAAAGTTTCGGGACCTTTTCCGTGTTTTGGTAAAATTGGTATTGGGGTTAATTGACTTAACCATGGTTAAGGGATTTAGAGGAAGATGGGTTTGGAATTCTTTTTTCCTTTTTGTTCTCCAACTTGCCTGTTTTTGCCGTCTCGAAAAGAATCTGATTCTGATCCAACGGCTGAGAGAGATAGAGACACAAGCAGAGTGCTTTTGTGGGCATCTCGAATGGCCGCCACGTATTCGGATTTTCGAGAAACAGTCAGCTTTGAAGTTACAAAAATACCCCGACAAAACTGTTGATAATTACGGGATGGGCCATTGTCCTCTAATGGCAAGGACCCAAATTTCACTTTCATGACCCCAGGCAAGCAGTCCCGATAACCCACTAGGACACTTTTTTATTTCTTGAAGCTGATAGTTTTTTCACTTTTACTATGTTTATCTTCCCGCAATTTTCTAAAGATAATGTAGGTGCCAAAAATAGTTGCATACAGCTGAAGAAGAAAAAGTTGCATATGGCCGTTGGCACAAGAACAATGTATTGTAGCATATCAATACAATATACGGCCAAAATAGGATTCAACACCTATCGTAAATTACAAGTTTGTTATATAATATAACCGTGTAATATTATCAACTCTCACAACAATATAAAGTGTATAAACCCAATACTTGCTTTCAAAATCCGCCCATGGTTTCACTTAACGACGGATTTTGTATGTATATCCATTGCATGATAGATAAAGTTTCACTGGAATCAAAATGTACATAAAGCATAGAACCTAAGAATCAATTTAGAGTAAATTTTCTGACGTGTATTGTATCTGCGGTCTATGGTATTTACTGTATGTTGTTCGCTCGAGGAAGTTTTCATTGTAATACATTATCAGATTTTAAGATCTGAGTATAGTGAAAAGAAATAGAAAAATATTTTTAACCTTAACGTGTATCGTTTGATTCGTATCTTTGGTCTATGGCATTTATGTTGTTCGCTCGATAAAGTTTTCAATGCAATTAAACAAAGTAAAAGTAAAGCATAACAAAATGGAATAAGAATAAAACTAGACTTGATTATATGCAATTTTGATTAGGCTGGTTACAAAAGCAGGGTTTATAATGCATGTGTTGAATTCAAATAAAGTTATCAGTTTAGAATCATTTGGCTTTCCTTAATCCGTCTAGTAGTTTAAAAAAATACGACTTATAAGTTGCTAATTATAAATAACAAAAAGATGTTTTTTTCTTTTTCTACCGTGAAATATAAGATGTATCCTTCGAAAATGGTGTCTCCGAATGTATATATATGTAATTAAATAACAACAACTAGGCATCCCTTGTCAAACACCACAGCAAAAAAGTCGTATCAAGAATCCAAAACGATGCGAATATATTGACATTTTGTGACTGCTTTACATTAAAAAAAAAAAGATCCAAACCATCTTCGAGCGTAGGCTATAAGATTAATAAACTTAAACAGACACCGGCTGTTTAGAATTGAAACTTAATTCAAATATACTATGAATCGGTCTTCAAAATAGTGCCGTGGTCCATGGACTTTCTTTTTGTTTGACAGGGCAAAACCATCTACGTGTTGACTTATATTTTAAAATGTACACTGTTTATCGTTCATTGTACACCACCACCCATCATTATAGAATGTTTAATTAACAACTACTATTCACCATAATTGTATATTGTTTACCCTCCACGTTCAACCATATTTCTTATGAAAATATCTTCGAAGTTATAAAGTGCCCCCTTCTTACCTTGTTATTATTAAATACCTCTTGGAGTAAACTTATTCTTTGTAATTAAGATAATAATGTGTTTAGAGAAGATTTATATTTATAAATTACTAGTGAAGAAGTATATGGGAGAGAGAGAGTGGAACGAGAACATGGTGGTGAATGAATAATAATGTTCCCAGCTGTGAGGGAGCGTGACTTCAACACCATAATGTGTCAGCCTGTCAGATTCGGGTCGCAGTCTTCTTGATAAAATCTATGAGAAAGTCTCAAAATCCCCTTGCACTCCTTTTTTAGCTTTTTAACCGCCATCTTTGTTGGCTTTTTGATTTACAAAGATCTAGGCATATTTATCACTTTTGTAAAAGTTTTGTTATCGGTTTGGTCATTTGCTTTGGCATATGCACAATTGTTTAAGATAGCCACAGATTCTGTAATGAACGACACCAGAAGTGAATGTGACAACTATTTACTATGAAAATACATATATATGTATTCTTCAAAAGTATTTGTAGAAGTAAAAAATTAAAAGGAGATATATGTTTTTGTCACCATGAAAAAAGCTCTAGCACTAGCGTATACTAGATCCGAAAGGAATATTATTGCAAGTTTTAAAATACAGTTAAACTATTACAAAAAACATACATATCTTAGAATGTTTTTTTCATGAATTTTTTTTTGTACTGTATCAGCAATTAACCATTTGTTGTCCTTTAATGGTATTAGTTGAAACAATATACAGCAGTAAGTAGTGGTCTCTAATCAATTGAACCGAAGAAACAGGTTTGTATAATGATCTCAAAGTTGGCAATTTGTTCACATGAGATTATTTAAGCCATACACAAAAGATACAAGTACATCATTCCTATGCTAGCTAAGTTGGAAGGTGAGCAGATCTAAATTGATGATATCGAGGCTGATTAGAAACATCTATAGGTTAGTAGAACAAGATGACTAGTTGGTTACTACCACCTACTTGCTATTAATAAACTTAGATGTGCAAGTTACACAAATCTAAAAAAACACTGTTTCCCAGTTTTGAGACCTATCTAAAGTATTAAACATGTATATCAGTTTGAATTTACGTAAATATTTAATACATATTTGTAATCCAATGATAACGTATAACACCAAGTCATGGAGTTTCAGTCCCTTCACTTTGAGGATTTATAATGTCCCGACATAGACAATAGAAGTTTGAATGTGATAAAACTTGTAATTAGGTCCAATGTATAATTTACGGTACATTATTGTATTACCTACCGATATTTAAATTCGTATTAGATGGCGCTAAGGTAGACTTGTAAATATTTTTCTCGTATAAGAAAACACGAATTTATTACGAAGAGGTTGAGCTTCTTCTTACACTGCTTCCAACTGACTGGTCTAAAAGAATTCCTCAAGGCCTACGAGTCAAGTCTTTTGCTTTTAGAATGTAGACTTTTCATTACTGTAGCATTATATACTTAATTTATGTCAAGTTTGTCTTCGAGTCATAAATTTTGGCATTGACTCAGATTGGCAATCGGAGAAAAAGCAGCTCAACAAATATCTTTTATTAGTAATTTAGTACAGAGTAAAAACGATGGTAGTCTTGAGGAAAAGCATCACAACAAATATCTTCTCTCTGTTTTTCTTTTTTAATCATTTCTTTCCAATTTATAACAAATATCTTCTTTAGTACTAGTAAAGGTGAAGGTGATCTGATAATGCCAAAGCAGCATAACAAATATCTTTCTGTTATAAATAAACTATAAACTAAAACTGTATATGAAAGAAAAAGATGAGATAGGTTTCGTACGTGAAGGAAAGAGAGAGTATAAAGTTGAATTTCTTTGTGAGAGGGAGATGAGGTGAGAGAGATTAAGTTTTGTTTATGGAGGTGAAGAGAGTATTCAATATATTATTTCTATTCAACTTATGTTACAATAGGTCACGGAGCACACCTATATATAATAGAAAGGAATTAATAAAATAATGGCTAAGGCGGTAATTATAAGACGGTGAGAACATGGTAGAATGCTGTAGACGCTGCTAAGCTCATCAAAAATCTGAATGTTATGGCATCCATTACTGGGGAATATGTTTCTTCATAATCAATTCCCGGTCTTTGAGAAAAACCTTGAGCCACAAGTCGGGCTTTATATCTTGTGACCTCATTTTTCTCATTTCTTTTTCTTACAAAAACCCATTTGTGCCCGACGGGTTTTGTATTCTCAGGAGTTGTGACAATAGGTCCAAAAACACTTCTTTTATTGAGGGAGAGTAATTCAGCTTGGATGGCCATTTTCCATTTCTCCCAATCAGGTCTTTTCAGACACTCTGATATTGTTTCTGGATCTGGATCATCACTTTCATGATCAATTTCTTTGTATACAGAAAAAGAGAATATTCCATCATCATCTTCTATTTCATTTCTTGTCCATACTTTTCCATTTTGGGCGAAGTTGATGGAAATCTCAAATTTTTCTGTATCATGTTCGTCTTCTGGACGAATCTCTTTCTCTGGTTCTTCAAAAACCAGTTTGTTTATGTCTTCTAGGACATATTTCTTTACAAGGTTCTTCTTGAACCTTTTCTCCCAAATTCTTTTTCTTTCGGGGATTTTTATCTTTAGAGCCCATCGGCCTCCCCCTCTTTAATTGGACTTTGGGTGCATTTGCTATGCTTCCATCATTTTGTTCCTTAGAACATCTATCTTTGATGGAACGTTTGCAGCGGGTATATATGATTTCGTCACTCTTTTTGTATCTGTGAACGCGTCTGGTAATTGATTTGCCATATTTTGTAAATGTATAATTTTCTGAACTTCCAATTCGCGTTGTTTTGTCGGGGGATCAAAGTGTAACAAATTCGGTGTACACCATGTGAGGTCTTTTGGAACCTCTTTAATTCCTCCCCCTAACGCTGGAAATTCATCTTCATTAAAATGGCAATCGGCAAAACGTGCCGTAAACATATCACCAGTTTGAGGTTCAAGATACCGAATAATACTCGGTGACGTATACCCAACGTATATTCCCAATCTCCTTTGTGGCCCCATTTTTGTTCTTTGTGGCGGTGCT